CGCTGGGCAGGGCCCGGGGAGCGGGGCGCAGAGGAGGGCAGGCTGGGGGCGCTGGGCAGGGCCCGAGGGGGGGCGCAGAGGAGGGCAGGCTGGGGACGCAGGGCAGTGCCAGGCTGGGGTGGGGGATGCACTCAGGGGCGTGGTGACTCCCCAGAGCTCCCCACAAACCCAGTTCTTTCCCTGTTTGGTTCTGAGTAGCAGATAATGCCCGCAGTGGTCTCTCTGGAGGGCCGGCCGCAAGGTGACCTCAGGAGGGAGGTTGCCACAAGGTGATCAGAGTGAGGGGGATTCAGACCTTTAGGGAGGAAGCACTTAATACATGATCCTTTCTAGCAGGGGAAATGTGTCTGCGTTAAAACTCTCCAGTGTCTCCTGAAAAATAAACAAAGGCCCGTAGTCGGCCACTGACAACACAGCAGCCCACTTTGGAAGGCTTGTGTTTTCACTCTGGGCCAGCTCAGCCTGGAGACATGGCGGGGACATGGTTAGCTTTGCTCAGGCAAACCTCAAGACCTCTTCAGTCACAGTTGTGCCAGAATAATAGGGCAACAAAATGCAATTGCAAAATAAATGGGTGTAAGGCGGTGGGTCCCAAGCCCGGCCGCTGGCCACAGTCACCTAGAGAACACAGAATGCAGATTCCGGGGCTACAGGGCTGGAGATTCTATGTGGGTCCGAGTGAGATGGGAATCTTTAAAATTCCCTGGTGATTCTGAGCAGCTGAGTAGCAATAAGGCGATTTCACCTGTTTCAAGGAGACTGGGGCAGGGGAGGGGGGCAGTAGGCTGTCACCTGGGGCCCTATTATCAGATAATCCCATCTGGATTTTTAATCTTCAAGCAGAAAGAAGTTTGATGAAGATGAATTGTACCTAGTTTTTAATCAATAGCTGTGCAGATTTCACATCTGTCCTTAGTTCCCCAAGCTTACAATACACAACCAAAAGTAACAGGATCATTGGTGCTTTGTGGAAGGAAAACAGGAGATGAAGGAGGGGGAGGAGAGATAGGCCCCGTCCTGAATAAACTGTGCAGAGAACCTGGGACTCGGGCTAATCTCCCCCTCAGTCTATGCACTCTCCCCACCCCCATGCCGTGTAGTTCCCAGCAAAGGATGTCAGAAATTTCTCGGTCTGCCTTACAAGAGCAACAGCAGAAACCCTTCCACAAAGCATCTTATTATGTTGGAGCAGCAGTGTCTACGCAGGAATGTCCCTGACTCACACAGGGCAGGTGTGTGACCATGGGGAATTGTCCTCTGCTGCCGTGGTGAGGTTGTTCCTTATGGGCCCACACATGGAGTGGTTTCTGCTTTTAGAATCCGTGGGAATACAGACTACCATTCACAACACCTCTCACTGAGAAGGTCTCACCACCAACACATCAGAAACCAGGTCATTGCTCCCACCACAGACTGTGAGCCGCCCCACCCCTCCTGGGCGGCAGGAGCAGTCTCAGAACACACAGCCTCACGGTTGGCCACAGTGCAGTGAGTGGACAGAGCCAGCCAGGGAATTTGACAGAAGGTGGTAATTGCCCTAATGGGGAGCTGGCTGGATGGCCTCGAATTTCCCTTACTGACCACAAGGTTTTAGGATCTCACTTGATGAGCATATGCTCCCAGCTGCTGGGCCTTGGTTAGGACCTGGTGACTATTCACACCTGACTGCCCTGTGCTCATGAGGTCACCTGTGTCAGGTGCAGGGTCGCTTTCTGACTGGGCATCGGTCATCATTTCTGGGATCCCTGTGTGCATAAGCCAGCAAAGTTTAGAACACTGGGGTTTAACTAAACAATTTAGAAGTTAGGTTCTACTTATTTACCTCTTGGTGTCTGAAGGTTTGTGCCCCTACCCATGACCAAAGTGAGGAGGCAGAAATGTCAGTCAGCTCTCTAGATGCTCCTAGAAACCATGTCTGTTTTCCCTCCTACACATCCCCACAAAAGCACCAGATGAGACCCAGAAGTGGACCTAAAGTGAGGAGTCAGTCCAGCTTGTCCTCACAGTGGTCCTAGCAGCAGAGGAATTTCAACCTTGTAGACTGGGAGAGTGACTTTCAGCTGGTAATCAGAATTGAGAAGTGAGTATACTGAAAGAAAGAACTGGTCCAGTGGGCCCATGGCTCTAGCAACTAGTTGCAGCTGGTTTCTGATCTGGTTGATGGGAACTCTCGGTACAGTGGTGAGTTCCACCAATTAGTAACTAAAATAAAAGTTAAGGTAACCATTTCCTTCCTGTGGTGAAGTACCCGCCATGGCCCATACTTTAAATTTAAACATGTGGCCAGTATTTTAAATCAGACTGAGAGCTCTACCATAAGGAACTCGTGTGGGTAAACTGACAGTTGTCTGGGGTCAGCTTTTTAAATGTGAGTGAAGCAAACGGTGCCTGATTAAGATGGGCATTGGGGTTTATCCCAGTTGGAAATGGCACTAGGGCTCAAACACTTATCTGTTTGTCCATGGAGTATGCCACACAGGACAGCAGACTCAAAGAAACGTTTGTTCTTCCATAACTTGAACTTGCCACCTGAATTTTAGAAATAATACAGTGTATTTCTGTCTGTTAAAAATTCAACTGAAACAGAAGAAATCGATCTAAGTCAATCATTAACTTGGAGAGCTTCAGACCAAGACTCTCTCTACAGTTATGGGATCACCCGTAGCCTACTCCTAAAAACAAGTTCCTTATACTTCATTTCCAATAGATTAGGAAATCCCAAAGGAGGGGACTTACCAGTCACTAGAGGCGGCTCTGCTTGGGGACAGTCTAGAAACATTTAGTGCAATGATTAATCCACCAGTGCTTGGAACTGGTAATCACTTTATCAGGCTATCACATTAGCAAAGACACTCCCCAAATACTCATATTATGATGCACGTTGTTCACACACATTTACTGAGTGCCATGCCTTATGCCCGGGGTAAGCCCAGTGGAAAGCCCAGTGGGGAACCCAACCCTCCATTCTTGGGGGAGACCAGTGGCCCACAGGAAACAAATGTCACTACAGGGGGATGTGTGGGTGCTTCAGTGAACCAGGACCCCCCTGGTTAGGTTTGTTTTTTCCCATGCTCTGTGTTGGGTGCCTTGAAAAATATTAGAGGGAACTCTTCAAGGGAACTATAAATCTTGTCCATACAATGTCAACACAATGGAGGACTGAGGGGTGGGTGACTGCAGTTGGCTACAGGTTTAAAAGCTCTGGGAATTACAATTGAGCATCTTTGCAGATACAGAGCTTAAAGGATCCTAATTTTAGGTTCCTGGAGGCCAGAAAGGTAAGTTGGGCTGGATCCCCAGGTGTTCTGTGGGCTACCATTATACAGATGATAACTTTTATTCCAGAAAAGGAGTGCAGGACTCCAGGATCCAAGGCAGTACAGCGAGAACACTCTAAGTGCTTTGGGACAAAGGTCAGAGAATTGGTACAAAGACAAGTTCAGATCAAAGGCCTCTCCAGAAAAGGAGTGCAGGACTCCAGGATCCAAGGCAGTACAGCGAGAACACTCTAAGTGCTCTGGGACAAAGGTCAGAGAATTGGTACAGAGACAAGTTCAGATCAAAGGCCTTGTGCACTCACCCAGACAGCAGAGCCGCCGCACCTGTGGTGATGGAGTGCAGAGCTGCTTCCAGCCGGCGCCTTACCAATTCCATTTCAGATTGAAAAACAGGCCAGCCTCTCCCGAGAGAGCAGTCTGGGCTTGAGTTACTGCGCCTGCGAGGCCCTCAATGCCCCCATTGTCACGCTCTGTGCAGCCAGGCAGGGCAGAGCTCAGGGGTCTGAGAGGAAAAGCTGAAATTTGAGAGGTCGTGGTTTTGTGCTTTAGGTTTATTTTGGGATACGGATAAGGCCATGAATCCCAAGGGATGCCCGATGGAGCCAGGCAGGGCTGGATCTCTGAAAGTGAACCCAGGACAGCTTGGAGAGAAGGGCTCTGGGTGCTGCGAGGTTTCCGCGCTGGTGGTTGAGAATATACATGGAGCAACCAAAGCCAGACAGCGTGAGGGACGGAACCAGACCACAGGATGGGACTCATTGCCACGGGGAGGTCCCAGAGCAAAGCAACACAAGGAGAGGAAACCCTAGAAGGCGAGAGGGAAGGACAGCAGATGTGGCTGGGTTAACCGCTCAACACTGAGGGTTGCGATCTGTTGCCGGACACGGAAAAAGACAAAAGACAAAAAAAAAAAAAGAAACAGGCACATCTCCTGTTCACACAGAGTGGCATGTCATACACCCTGTCCTGTATCAGTGTGTGGGGAGTGATCCCCATCAGTGTGTGAAGAGCTTCTGCATTCTTTTGCAGAGCTGCAGACCCATTCGTGGGTACACCATAATCCCTGCATTTAGTTACCTACTGATGAATATGCAGGTTGACTCCAATCTTGGATGAA